ACYACTAGTAGTACTAGAATTGCTAACATCTTCCTTCTTGCTAACATCTGGTAGCAATATKGTAGAATTTCTTGTCAGAATCTGGTAGCTCTYCTTCCTACCATAATTTTTTTTGTAATAATTAGATCCTCTTAGCCCCCTCCTGAAAGTTTCAGTCCTTGCTTAATTTGTGTGTTAAATAGAGCCTGCTGGTTCCATTCCAGCAACAGGTCTACTAGTAGTAGCCACCAAGGGAGGTATGTGATAAAATGGTCAATGATAATTGTCCCTCACAGTTGTTTGAATTGCATAAAATGTAGATTTAAAACGGTTTTCAGCATTAATTTAGAGTTMGAGATAATACCAACATTCTATGAACCAAACAATATGATTGGCTGATTGTTAGAAAGATCCCGTTCGATTCAATGAGAAAATTTGATTTAAAGGAGGTAAAAATCTGCAAACTCAGGGTTCAATGAAAGAATTTGATTTAAAGGGTGTAAAACTCGTATTGTACTTTTTTGATAATTTATATCTGTCTAATCAGCCAATCATATTGCTTGATTCCTAGAAAATATCCCTAATCTGTCTAATTAGCCAATCAGATTGCTTGATTCCTACCGCATTTTAGTATTATCCCTAACTCTAAATTTACGCCGAAAACCGTTTTATATCCCCCTCCAAACACCTGTGCCCTTTGTTGCTCATAACCTGCAAATGTTAATATGCTCCTTACTGCGTGTTAATACGTTGTTTACAATAGAGGAGTGAGGTTATTCACTAGCTACTCGGGATTTAGCCTCACAGCGCCAGACGAAAGATTCCGAAGCCTTCGTTCTTTCTTGAAACGTACGGTACGTACCGTACGGTAAAATTTCTTCTCCCTTTCGATGAAGACACTGAATTCGCAACGCTTCTTAATGGTGAAGATCACTTCGCTACGTAATACGTAAACGAGTTCACGAAAAAGATTTTTTTTCACGATTCAAACAGAATCTTTTTGATCAATTGCTAGTGTGCAATTATTCATATCATAACAGTCTCCCCACAACTTCGACATTGAAAACGAGAAAAGAAATTTGATTCTATCAAAATCATGGCAACGGAGAAAGACAYATTGATTGTGACGGACGCAAAGGCAGTTGAGGGGTCTGCCTCCGCTAAAAGCGCAAGAAACTGGAAGACTGCATTGTGTTCCTGCTTCCAGTATGGCTTTTGCCATCCTCCCCTATGGTGTGCTTGCTTCACACCGACTATATTGATGGGTCAGGTATGTCACCGTCATCTGTGTCGACGCCATTCATTGGAATTACATACAATCATTTTTTGGYCCACTCTGTCTATCTCTCACTCTATCCATTTCCACCCGCAATTCTATGTCCGTCGCACTACTGTCGTGRATGGGGTCCAGTTGCTCACACGGATGAAGATGACATGGTTTGGAAGTCCCTCCGTAGCTGGGGAATATAAGGACACCTTCAAAATCGTTTTGGTAATCGCAATCGTGAACTATATTATCTTTAAGGTGTTCAACTGTTCGGAATATATCCCTGGCGAAWCTGAGGATGGTGTCACCGTTCTGGTTAAGAATGAGCATTGCAATACTTCATTGAGTGGASTCGCCGGCACCATCAACTCTGTTTGTGCTTTGTACACTTTTRTTTTAATGGTCAGGCTTCGTATGGCAATCCGAGCAAAATATAGCATCAGCGAATCAACTTGTGTCGGATGCGAAGATTGCTGTCTCGTATTCTGGTGTCCTTGTTGCTCCGCTGTTCAAATGGCGAACCAAACGGCAAATTACGACGAAGTTTCTGGTCAATGTTGCACTGAAACTGGTTTGCCTCCGTCTACCGGCGACGTGACTGAAGCCATTGTGGTGTAAATGTAGGCTTGATGTCTAGAAAGAGAGAGAGAGCAATTGTGGTGTAATGTAAACATTGGTGGATAGCGAAAGCGAGAGAGAACTTTTTGTCTGGAGAAGTAAAGATTGGATRGCGAGATACCTAAAAACTGTACCGATCATGGTAAATTACCATGTTAAAATAACYATTCTATGTTGTTAGTATCCGTCAAATCGTTAATGAAAAAGTGCAACTTGCCGTTACCAATCTTCTTCAGATTCTCTTGTTTATATGGTACATTGTTAAATAATATAAACGAGAATAATAATTGATCTGAATTCTGTAGATGCAAGAAATTCAAACCTTAACTCTACCTCGCACTTACGACTTCCAACCAACAAATGCATAGGCGAGATGATCCCTATAGATACGTCTACTTYAGGACATATTTGCCGAGAACTTGTCKTTCTTATTYAATGATGAAATCCAAGGTGCATTACGATCATTTCTAATACTACATGTGTACACATCGTGCTTCGTCCGTAAATAAAAATGATTTAGCACATAACGTGCATTGATACCGATCACTTTTAGCATTGYCACATTTCATCTAAAGATGCATGGGATGCAGCGTATAGTACCGTTGGTTTAGTGTCGTCATCGATTTCAAAACTCATTCGAGTATTTGGACGTTCATTTGCCATCCAAATAATTCACGCCCTCCATATATACAGGAAGAATCTTCGTTGGTGTTACAAACTTGTTCGAGTTCAATGCTTTCGTCTTCATATTCCAGTTCTAGATGTGGGCCAAAATCATCTGCGCAACCTTCTTGAAGAAATTCAGAAACTGCTTCTTGGTTTAGTTCGCACTGCATTCGAGAGAGATCCGCGTTTGAGTAAGAACCAACGCGATTTAGCATTTCACGTCTCTGCCAATAGTCTAATTTTGACACCCTCCGCTTCCTTCGGATTCCTCTSCGCTGATTCTCTCGTTGCCGAATCAAAAGTTCATAGTCRTCGATATCGTACACTTTTTCTTTCGCATGAAACCAATCCAAGCTWAGTGCAAGACCATCTCGACATATAGGATGGTCGCCTACAGTAATGGCATATTCTCGAACATGTGCGGAACCAAACTTTACTCTTCTGCGGAGCTTCTGCCAATTTTCCATCAAGTTTAGTGTGTTCGATATTTCCTCCAGATCAAAAAACTCCTGTGTACCGCACGATGCGTACGAGGAAGACTCTTCTGAATCCGAAAGAATTAAGYTTGGTGCACAGTCTAATCCAGTTGAATAGCAAAGGTGATTGTACTCGAGCGGAGCATTGCCGACAGGATGGGAAGGCGATGCTACTTTGGGTACAACATAATCGTCATTGTCAACACCGTTATCAATGTCGTAGTCGTCGTCGTAGTCATCGAGCAAATTTCGAAGGAACGCCATCACGCCAGTTTGTTGTTTCARTCCGTCTTTTTATCTTATCAATCTTGCCATTGTGCAAGCAACGGAGTTGCACGAGGTAGTTTGACGGGTACAGGACATGRCATTGGGACGGCATCAATCGACTAATTTCTGGAAAACACCTTTTTTGTGAATCAACGGAAGCACAAACAAAATATGTGCTATTGTTGTGCCTGCGCGCAGAATTTTGGCGTCTACTCGTACTGGGAATATGTTTTCCCAACTATTTAACGTCAGAAGTAAAATTGTGTCGAATTTGAAAGCCACTCACATGTTTTTTGTGTGTAGTAACTCTTGGGAAGATCCACGATCAGACCTCCTGCATACCGACTCAAGCATTTTTGGCATCATTTTTTCTTTCTTCAAGTATTGATCATTACTGTAGTTCGCATTATTATTTTTAAGAGAGCGTTTAATGACCACGTAATGGGAAAGTGCGAAATGATGGTTTCTTGTAGTACCGCCATGGTAGGAGAGTCTTGCGAACACATCTGCTTTTCTTCAATACTTCAACTTCATCTGATTCAATCAATTACTAGTACTACTAGTACTATTGCTACTGGCACTCTTAATGACACTACAGTGTCAATACTATACTTTCAATTTATCCTACCACCAGTTTGCTGCTGCTGCTGCTGCTGTTTTTTTGTTGTTGTCAGCCTGCTGAGCAAAATATTTGGTCTCAATTTTGACAGATCTTTGTGTTGAGTCATTCAACAGGAGATTTTCATTCATGAATTCCAGTCTAGATTTACTAGATTGTCTGGTGTAAGGTTTAAAATCATGCATGCTAGTAGTACTAGTCAATCAAAAATATTGATCAAATTATCTAATTTTTGGTCTGTCAGTCTGTCAAAAATAGATTGCCTATTATTGGAAATACTTCATTGTAAATAGTACTGCACAAGAGGAGAGGGATATTAGTTGTGTAATCTAATGCTTCTTGCAAGGGTKAATCAAGTGAAGGAGACCCTTGTTTGCCATGGTCAATTGGTGCTGTATTGTTGTTGCTGCTGCTTTTCCAGGTGGACAACTAAAAATCTGTATTCCTACATGATTTATGTAGGCTTAGTACAAGTTGGTACCAGCGTACCACTTTTAAAACACATGATTCAGTAGGATCTTTACTATGTTCTAGTACTACTATCTTTCGAAGCCTCTTCAATACAGGATTCTTCAGTAGAATTTGTAGTACTGTATTCTACAACAAATGCTTTGCTTGTCACTACAGCGCCACATTTGCTTGCTCATTATAGTATTAGTAGCTAGCAACAGCAAGAATATCAAAATGCAACAACAACAACAACAACAACAACAACAACAACAACAACAACAACAACAACAACAACAACAACAACAACAACAACAACAACAACAAGCAATACACAACAAGCAATACACAACAAGCAATACACAACAAGCAATACACAATAAGCAATGATACACAACACCAATAACAAGACAAACATACACCACAAGAACAAACACAACATCCGACACAATAAATCAATGAATTCCATACCTATTTCAGAGAGGACAAACAGCATGATCAGCTTAGATACATTCTTTTCAGGGCAGTACTTTCCACCTTACTGCCACCAATTATGAAATGCATACCGGTAGTAAAGTTAAGGAAATGAGATGCTGGTGGCGTGTGATGAGTTTGCTGTTACTGTATGCTACGGTAATTCGAAACTTCCACTTGCAGCGCACGGCAAAAGACCTAATCAAACGTTTCACGTCTGGAATTTTTTTACGGAGAAAAATACCAAAATCGTCATCATCAACTGTCATCACCGTTTTTGAACAATACCTTGATTGCATTACTAGAATCAGGCAAAGTTAGCTTTCTACGATTTTGAGAATTCTCGGATGAAGACGCAAGACAGCTGACAAGAAGGAGGCAAACCAGCATYCACGGTCATTTCCGCAGCTGCGTTGAAGAAAAGTCTTCTAGAAAAGGTTACGGTAAATCTGCAATGATCAACACATTTCTGCAATGCCAAAAGTAACAGACAATATTATTGGTTGGAACATCAAAAAACCAGGACTTGATACTACCTACAGTTGTCATGTCAAGTTCAGATAATAAGCCACCCGAGAATGGCAGCGAAGAAAAGCTTTCTAATCTTAGAGCAATTTTGGGATATGAGATACCGCGTGCTCGACTTGTTCAAATTTTGGAGGCATCCAACGGGTCACTGGAGCATGCCATCGAAATTTATTTTCATCAAGAGAACCAAGAAATGGAGCGCACCAATGTAAAGGATACGGATGACGTGAAAGGAGATTAYTCACCGCTAGATCAGCACGATTGTTCATCCAAAAATGAAAGGAAACCAGAGATTTCCAATCGCAATGAATACGAAGATGTTGAGAGCGTAGCAGCGAATAAAAAACGAAGTCAGACAAGAATGGCATYAAACCATACAAAAAAATCTCCATCGAAACAGGCTCGATTGGATTCGTTTTTCCGCGTTGATTCTGCGAAGGTTATTGGTTCACTTAAACAACTCGGAAGGAAGGATCTAACAGGGACTATAGTCAAAAGAGAGACACTTGAARCAATTCAAAACTCTGATTTGGAGAACTTTAACAGAACGTACGAAGAGACAATGGACAAAACACCAACTGCTGAAGATACTGCAAAAACAAAAATGTTTGCTCCTAAAGTATGCAATGACAACGACATGAAAAAGGGGTGCCCCGATGCTTGTTCAGACACGTCTTACGTCTCGTTTCGAAGACTTTGCGAGGCTTTGCAAGAAATGACAGATACTACAAAACGTCTTACAAAGCTCAAAGTGCTCGAAACATTTATTAGAGAAGTTGTTTACTCTGATTCCACCGTTGACAAAAGGTGCAACAGAGGAGAAAGAAGCCATGTCTCGATGAGGGTGAATACATTATCGTCGGCGTTGGGACTTATGTTAGGAGGAGGTACATCTTCACCACTGAATATCAGCGGTTCTGCAGTTTCTAAAGCACTACAAACCAGCCTAGGCATTACACGAAATCAAATTTCGAAGGCATACCGACACTATGGTGATCTCGGTGATTGTGCTGCCAGCTTCTTTCAAAAGAAGACGCATTTTTTGGTCACCTCAAATGCTCGTCGCCAGTTATCCATTCTTCAGGTGACGGAGGTAAGTCAAAGTTGTCACCTGATCTGATGTATTCTAATTGATTATTTGCTCTAAACGCATATTTATGACGACTGGCTAATTTATTTCAGGGTTTGAGCAAAGTCACYGAGACAACTGGAAGAGACGCAAAACAACATGTTTTGCACTCTCTTCTACAAAGCTGTAAAAGCAAGATAGAATGTCGGTTTTTGGTTCGACTGCTATTACGTAACATGCGAATTGGGGCGAATATTAAGACAGTTTTGGCGGCTCTTGCCATGGCAATGGTACCAGCAAGTATAAATGCCGTCGTTGGAGACGAAAACAAGGAGAGAAACGAGTGCAACTCTTTGAAGAAACCAGGTATGGATACGAAAGATGCGATTACGATGGTTCAAAAAACATATGATGTGTGTCCCGATATATCCAAAATTGTTGCCGCCCTTTTAGAAGGTGGTTTCGACCAAATGCAGCGGGTTTGTTCAATACAAGTGATGACACCAATTGCTCCAATGTTAGCACATCCCGTTCATTCTTTGGATGAATTAAAGGAGAGAATAGGGAATGATGGTGAAATTGCCACAATGGAATGGAAGTATGATGGAATGAGATGTCAGGCTCATTATGACGGTGTCAACATTCAATTGTTTTCGCGGCAYATGTTGGACATGACGAATCAATTTCAAGATGTTGTCAAGTACCTGTTGGATACCATACGATCCTCCAGTCCAAATTGTTGTAGATCGTTCATCATTGACGCTGAAATTGTTGGTATAGAAGGGGAAGGCAGAGATTCGCGTTTGCTTCCATTCCAAGACCTATCTACTAGAAGGAAAAAGATGGATGACGGGAAGGGTATCAAAGTGAAAGTGTTTGTATTTGATTTGATGTTTTTYAATGGAAAATCCTTGGTCAATGAACAATTTCACAAAAGGAGATCTCTGCTTCAAAAAATGTTCGTGGAAACAACTAATTTTACGTTTGTTTCATCACAGAACTTGATGAGTTATGACGAAAACGTAATCACGTCTTATCTCTCAGAGGCCATCGCAGGCGGTGCCGAAGGTCTCATGGTGAAATTGCTGGGCGAGAAACCAATTTCGGCAACAAATGAAGGCATTAAAAGTTTTTACGAAGCCGGTACGCGAAGTCACTGCTGGCTAAAAGTGAAAAGAGACTATGTTGCAGGTTTTTCGGACACAATCGATGTTGTTCCCATTGGTGCGTGGTGGGGAACAGGAAGAAAAGCTCAGAAATCATTTTTGTCGCCAGTGCTACTAGCGGTYTATGACGATGAGGAAGAGGTCTTCCGATCAATATGTAGATGTATGAGCTTCACGGATGCCATGTATGAATCTATACGAAAATTCTACTTCAATGGTATCGAATATCCCACATTTTTTGATTCAGGAGTCTTGGAGAATGAAGGCATCAACCCTGAAAAAAAAGTTATCAATGGAGRCGGTCTGAGTAGTAATGAAGACGATGGGGATGGCAGCTGCGGAAAAAAAGGTATTGATGACCACTGTCAAGATACAGATGGCTCCATAATGGCTGAAGGGRGGGAAGAACAAAAAGACAGGAATAGAGTTCACTGCTTCCCGGATCGTCCTTCTTCGGCCTTCGTGATAACTAACGAGTCGCCACCAATTTGGTTCAAACCCATGGAGGTATTTGAAGTTGCATTTGCAGATCTCAGTCTTTCGCGACAGCACACTGCAGCTGCTGGTCTTGTTGACGAAGAAGGGCGTGGTGTTGCCCTTCGGTTTCCTCGTTTCAAACGGCGCCGACCAGACAAAAAACCCGAACAGGCTACCACATCCATTGAAATCGCTCAACTTTTTGCCAAACAGTCCAAAATCAAAAAGTGACCTCGTRTCTCAAGCCAAATGTAGGATCAATTTACGTCAGAATTTCMTTTKCAAATCRCGTCTTCMGCGCCTTTTCAGAAATTACTCGCTTCCTCAAACTAATCAATGAATCATTTCGCACACACTAAGCCCATCATCCAAATATAACTCGGAATAAGAATTCTTGTTTTGGCTTTCTCGTGGTTGACACTCTGCAGAATCACTTAAAATTAWATATTTGTACAAAGATAGCGTTTGAACACTTTGTGATTTGATACAAGTCAWTAAGGTGACATAGGGCCATTTCCTCCTTTCGTGTACTTCGCTGAGAGTATTGCTTGTTGTCCCCATGTCGAAAGATCCCYCATTYTTTGGTGTATTGCGATGAGAGCACAAGTCGCCGATKGTCTTGCGTAGGTGTTGCTCCTTGTCACATGTCGAAAAACTATGTAGGTAGGAAATCTGGGTTCACGCACACATCTACGTTGATTGAAATATTCTCTGGATGTGAGCAGCCCGGGACCTCGCGTGATTCCGCACCGAAGTTGCGCGAGTAGCATATGTTGTCGCCTTTGCAGTCGTCATCGTTATCGCAATCCCCATRGCATTCTTCCAATTCAAAGAACGGACTCCATCCCACAAATACAATTTCTGGTCTTTCTTCAACGAAGAATTCTGYTTCTAATATGGACGGCGGATACGTCTCATTCGTCTCTGCAGTGTATGCCATGGAAACACGAGATGGTATACTAGATGGTGCACTAGATGGTGCACTAGATGGTGCACTCGATGGTGCAACAGATGGTGCAACGGATGGTGCAACGGATGGGGCAATGGATGGCACAATGGATACCCTTGGGATCACTCCAAGTATAGGTTCTCTCGTGGGCTCTTCCCTGAGAATCACTCCCAGTAACGATTCWTTCGTGRGCTCTTCTGTTGAATTCTCTTTGGGTATATTTGTCGGACTTTTYGTGGGTTCTTYAGTTGGTTTAAACGTGGGTGCTGTCGTTTGAATCTCTCTCGCTTGATGCAACCACTCTAGGACTGACCCGGAAGTGCACCTCATGTATCGAGGTGCCTCGTCTGGAAATTCATTGCAGACGGTTTCCACTATCCAGTCATAAAAGTAGCTCACGCGAGAATAAACTCCTGGAACTCCTTTTTCAGCACACCCGCGACCCCAACTTACTACGCCAACTAACCTATCCTCCTCCCGGGTGTTGCCCTTGCGTATCATTGGCCCTCCACTGTCACCTACAGCAACAATTGCATCCGAAGCATGAGAATGGCAATACMAATRACTTCGACGTAATTCTTCCGAGAAATCGGYACRTCCGCTTCCATTGATCGCGATCAAATCACAACGAACAAAAATGAGGTACYACTCACCGATGCAAGAATCTTTGCCATAACCTGCGGCGCACATCATATCCTCAAGAATTTCCTCCTTGTCCCCATGTCCATAGTCGCATGTGTCGTTGTCTACATATTCCAACTCTACTTCCTGGAGTTCGTCCGATAGTATCATGGGGTCTCCCTTGTCCGTGTCGCCGAATCCGAGGACGGTAAAGCTTCCTCCTTCGATTCTCTCCTTCTCCATCTCTATGTAGGGGTGGTCGGCTTCTTCCTCAAGTATAAATAGAATAATGTCCTTTTCTAACAGTTGTATGTTGTAATCGGGATGGACGATGGTCGATCGAATTTTGACAGATTGTCCGTCCGTGATGTCTTCGAAGGCCCCTATGCGGAGCCGATCGGAGGCCATCTCGCAGTGCGCCGCCCCCAAGGCCACCCTAGGCGCTATTAAAACAGCACCRCATAGAGACGTCCCGTACATGAGCGAGAAATAGGGATATCGCAATCGATCGACGTCTCTCCCGTTGATGATGCGCGGTACTGGCTGCATCACAACGTTGTCGTGACCCCTGAGGTTGCTGTTTCGCTCGGTTGACTGGTATTCTGTCGCCGCAACTCTGCATCCCCATGCCGAAAGCAGGAGTGCTATTACTGTTATCGATGGTACCAACCAAAATACGAAGTCCGTCCTCGTGTTCACACGCCTTTGGACCATGCTGTTCCAGTCGCGACGGACACCGGTAAAGCGCTTTCGAGTGTTTTTGTRTTTGTAGTGAGATAAATGCCGGTGATAAACAGATAGCACYGTCGTTCCCATGCACCGAAGGACTCGTGATAATCAAGACTAATTKGCGCAGTAGATGSCAAGTGCGATGGGCGCTTTAAGAAGGAACTTCAATGTTGGATGATAAAGAAATTTGTCGATACAGTGAAAGCGGTGTTCCTGGAAATTCACTGTTGACTACGAAAGAAAAATTCGTCGGTGCATGACTCCCAACGAAGAATTTTGTTATTGCGCCACCCTGAGCTYACTAATACCGGTACCTACCATTCTTGTCAACGGAGTACCAGAAGTAAATTAGGCCACCGCACGTGTATCTGTGACAGTTTGTCGTGGAATAATTGCTATCACATAGCGGTAGCGTACACCAAAGATAGAAATATTGGGTCTCTATCTATTGCTTGACACTTATGCAATGGAATGGTACGACTKGAATCATTAAACTCTTTTTTGTCGCCCCCTAAGAGTACACGTAGAGTAATACAGTAATGTCTTCTCTTTTTTAATTGCCCCTCTTAATTTATCACGTGTATGGGGTTTCGTGTTTGGTCTGATGTCGGGGAAGATCCCACCATTGTTGTTGTTTTGGTACGATTGCATGCATTCCCCCCTTTTTAATTTTGTTTTGAATTTCGAGCATGAACCCCCCCCCACACACACAATCCACCGTTTGGTTCGTATGTACCGTACGAGAACTTGTACTCACACATTGGAACCGCATAGCATTTTGCATTTTAGCCATTCCGTACCTAGAGCTTCTGTAGAAATTGTACGGYACGAATTTAAAAAAAATGCAAGTTACAAATTACAAACACTCCATCCATCCTTACGAATGCAATATCGTACCGTACAGTACTACTCGAACATAACGTACAGCTATTGCAGGTAGCAAGAGTGGTGGATCCAAAAGTTACACCTTGCACGGCTCGATACCATTCTCAAAATAGTGCAACGCGTTACGGGATACGGTACAGGGAGTYTGAAGTTTCAACAGCAGGCCCGACTCCAGAATCACCATCTCGACCATAGAAAGCAATAGACTGCCATATCTTGCATCTGCGATCAGCGATATCTTCGACCAACTAATTCCTTCAGAAGCACCTTTGAAGTTTAGAACCATCGACGAATATGTCACCATTGCCGAGGACAATGACGACATCAAGGCTTTTGTCTCTCGCAATACTTTGTTCGTCGTTGATCCGATGTTCCACAGCCATCACGAGAAGAACATCAAGTATGTTCACGACGGTGGCGACGACGACGAAGGCAGCAACGGGTCCCATAACACATCAATTGGAACTCCATTCGTCGCTCTTGCTCCTGCGCGGAGGTGGCACCGCTGATGGAAGTAAGAAAAAGGGCAAGAAGAAAAAATCAAAACGCAAGGGCAAAGCGAAGAAGGCGATCGTTGATGCCATGAAAGAAAAAGATTCAGCGGAGGCTTTGGGCGATGCGATTCGGTGAGACGGTGTTGGCGCTGTTCGTCTTATTGTTTGTTCGATGTGGCGTTTGTAGAAAGTGATAGTCTTTCSCGAAATTGCTGTACAAGGTTTGTACGCCGCACTCATCTTTCCCTTCGTCACTACCTTTGAAATGGCGATRCCTTGTAATGTTTGGCCGTATATTGTGTGCGTTTGTGCGCAATCGATCGTCAGAGACCGCGCCGATGATTTGCGAAAAGAACAGGCAGCCGAGAGTGATCCGTTGCTGCAATCGATCGATGGGTCTGTCGCATCGGTAGGGCGGGCAATGGGAGCATCCGATTACGACGCCGAAAGCACTTCTGGAGGCGTCCAGGCGTCGCCGACGTCGGTCATTGCCAATTACTTTTTGAAGTCGCATGGGGGAGCCCACATGCTTCAATCCGCCTCGAGTGTACTGGCCACGGCCTGTGGCCTGGGATGTCTGGTCATGGTATCGAGGTTTTCACCATCGACCGATGCTGCTTCTGCGGGAGCGGCTATAGCAAATTCGAAATGGGCACTGGCCCTACTGCGTCGGACCATGATATTCGCGTTCATCAAACACGTCTCGGGATTGTTGGCGAGTGCTTCGGTGGCAGCCAAGGCAATCCCCAAGATCGGGATCTCGGAGTCTCGCAAGTGGATGGARGAGATTGTACGAGAGCCCGTGGCACAGTATGTCTTTTACACAGCGCTCGTTTTGTTGTGGTTGCCAACCAAGGGATTCCTCCTAGCGGGACCGGCACAAGACGATGGGACATTCACCACCATCGCCACGACTTGGTGGTGGCCCAAGTCGCGCTGGGTTGTGTCTTGTTTCTTGATGGGTCCAATATTATTGAGAGAAATCGTATCCAACATGTTGATTGCCTCGGACGTTTTGGTCCTGTGGAGTGTTGGCTCGAACAATAAGAACGGTGTCTTAGAGCGCATATTGGAAGTTTCGCAATCGATTGTCAATGCTGTGATGAGTCTATTGGTTTCACCAACAAAATGGAGATCTGCAGATGCTGCGAAGCGCCAAGAAATCCTGGCGGGATTGGTCTCAAAATTCTCGCTCTTTCTAGAAGCTGGCGTGGGAGGAATACTGGTAGTGGATCTAGCGATTGGCCTTCTGCGGATGGTCTTTGGTAGTGCTGTTATGGGAGGTGTAAGACCGGCTTGGCACGAGACCCTGACAAAAGTCGTCGTGATACGTCTATACATTCATTACCTAATTTACATTCGTCGAAAGAACCTTTCCAAACTGGCCACAGAGATGCGCGGAGGAGCCCTACAACTCCCGTTTTGGGTCTTGGATAGCCTTTGCGACCCAGCTAAAGCCCTTGGCATTTCTTTGCCTGCGAAAGCTGYGAAGGACGACGGAGAAGATTTTTCCGTGAGGGAGATGTTTTGCGTGGGGTTCGGACTCGAAGGAACAACCTCCAGTAACTCCTAGAACTTTTGAATTTGAGAAACTCCAATGAATCCATTGATCCTAGTAAATACGGTAAAAATGTAAATTACTGAAGGATTTCGTAAGTGTTGCAAGTACACGTTGAATTTCTTAGAGGACATGATGTCACTGAGATGAAGTGACTGAATGACTGGTTGCCTCTCTAATCATAATRAAGCATAGTAGTACTTATAATTCCTAACATTGATTCTGTGCAGAATGCTGATATGGAGATAGATTACGTGCAGAATTAAGACAATCCTAGGACTTGACAACGCCCGATCTTATGTCCCAATTGAAGGCCATAAAGTCCTCCTACTCCCATGACCTTCTCCAATTTGGGCCTCATGGTAGACCACGAATTCAACTTGAGKTTTTGTATTAGTCTAGTGGAGAAGCTTGAAAAGTTGTACTGTGAGCACTCAATCTCGATTGACTCGGACAGATAGTTCTCGGATATCTTTCTAAGGTTCATTCGTGCACTGCCTCACACTTCGTTCTTTCTCAATCTTTTCCGATTCTGTACGTCGACCGCAGAAACAATGCTCGACGATTCCGGATGAAAAACTTTCTGGAATTGAGTGTGAGTGTGAGTACCAAGCCGTACCGTACTCCTCATATTTTTTTTACCGTACGGTACGTACCGTACAGTACCTTTCGTTCAGCACCTTGTACGGTACGATAGGACTAGCTGTACATATAACACGACAGAAACAATAAGACTAGCAAACACATGCTTTCCTGGGGCAGAACAACAATCCATCAAGTTGAAACACCATCTCCGAGTGGTCCCAGTCACAGTGCTTTCTTTCCTAGGACTACGGCACGACACAATAATCGTACCGCATAAATCTAAGTCGAATCGAGAGCAGCAGCAATTACGACATGAGTGAGAGTGACGCAGATAACAGGGATGCGCCGTCGAAGGCCATGATGATAATGCTCGCGCCAGATGGTTATTACACCTATTTGAACATCCCAAAAGTTCCAGTACAGAATAGCAGCGGCAGTGTTGGCAGCAAAGAATCTGGTGAGGACCCTTTGCTACAAATAGACCTCGATCTTGTGAAGAAAAATTTCCGCAAGCTATCCATCCGGGTAAGCATCACAGTCGTACCGATGTTTTGCGACGACGCGCAACTGTATGCGAAAGGTTGAACTTTRATGGCACGGCKTGAGGTAGTATCTCTGTCGCTCTTTTTGTTCGTTTGTAATTTATGGAATGATTCTTATAATTTCCGTCCGCTTTTGTCACCAAAGCATCACCCCGATAAACCGGGTGGAGATTCGGATACTTTTCGAACGCTGAAACGGGCTCAGACCGTCCTATCAAATCCMAAATTGCGACAGCAGTACGACATACTAGGGCTTGACTTGGATGATGATGATGTGGAACAAAATAGTTCTGCCGGTATCAATGACGAGGATGCTGGCGCGGAACCACAGACGACTTCCCAGGGGATTATTCAGGATATTGCAAGTGCTGCACTTACGACGGTATTGCAATTGGGTGTCAGGACGGGTATGTTTGTTATCATTTGAGTTTTGTCTGTCGTGCAATTGTGTGTAGCCAATAATAGGAGAACAACGGCGATGATCGTTACTGATACTACAATTCCTGATCCTGCTGATATTTATGCTCCATTCTGCGATGTTMTATTGATCAACATGAATTACTTTTCGTTYTCATTCAATTCTTCGTATGGTTCTACACGAATAACAATGGATTTCAYTCGGCCAGCCCTTTTGGGAACTATTTCTTTGATCATCGCCCGGTATAGGTTGACACTTTTTCCTACGTTGGCTTTTTTGGCTTTTGTCGCCTACAAGGTCCGTTCTGGACCCACTGTGGACCATTCATTGGAATTGATGTCACCTTTTGTGATTGGAATTGGAATGATYATCATGTATCAAGCTTCATCAGGGAGCTGGAGTTCTATCTCCGAAGACGGCACTAAAAAAATACATTGGCTTTTGTACTGGTTGGGAGAATCTATCACTATTTTCATGTTCACATATAATTCCATGGAAGTCAAGCCATCTATGTCCAGTCCAATATATCTGGGCGCCATTGGTTTGTTTGGAATACTAGCTGCCCTTTGGTTCCGTGGAAAATTCTGGAATTATGCCATTGTTATCGGATTGGAGATTTTTTTGGCTATTTTCATCGCCCTTGCCTTTCCTGTCTTTGAAATGATCCTCGAGGCAATTCTTAACGACAAACTCAAAAAGGTTGGAGATAAGATCCGAGCGCAGCACAAATGTATGGAACGCTATTACAAGCAACAAAGTAATGACTAATAATAATATCAATGAAATTGATTGCATCCCTTCTACAACGCATTCGATGAAGACAAGCAAAACCTCAGAAATATTTCTTGTTCTGGGTGAATGTCTGGTAGCAGTACGATAATAGTATTGTACAAGAAAAAGAAATAGAACTACACATTAATGGGCCATTTCAAATTTATTCTAGATGTGTTACTTTTGATAGAGTGACAGACTGAAAATTTAGCTAATGGGTAATTCCCAATAATAATTCTAAACCTGTAGATTTAGCATGTTTAGCAATATAACTGAGAGGAATGCTGGTTTCATCTCAGTCTGCTTGGAAATCTGGAATCTTAACTATACTCCAATGTAATGATACAAAGAAAAACATGAAATTTAACTCATATTAGCTACTACTAGTAGAAGAAAGACACAAATTTCTGATACTAACTCCTAGTATMAAAAATTTGTGTCTTCCTTACACTATCTATCAGTCCACAACAAACTGGTATTAGATGCACTAATTGACCAGGGTTTTCCACTAGCAAGAAAGAACAAGGCCACACCAGTAATGGGAGTGGTGGAGGTCATTATGATRTACTGGTACATCCAGTTGAAGGAGGAGGAACAACACAATACTTATCCACAGAAACTATATCTGGATTAGAGACGTCAGAGGGATAGGAGAACACCAYGGTTTGCAATCCAGAGATATGCTGATTCCCCCTTCCACCATCTCTTCCACTTAGGGCTTGGTGAAGCACTGCTTAACTGCTGTGGTGTAGACCACAGCAGGGTCTYCAGGGAGCTTGTTGGTGTCTGTGCTCCAGTGTACAACAACAAGTRCACAGTCAACACCAACAATGAGATTGTGGAAGTTTCTTTTTATCCCAGTGGCAAGGGGAAGAAGAGGGAGCTTAATGCTGTCTGTGCTATTGGGCTGGTCCTTTGATGGTACCRGACAAGAAGATCTGTTGTAAGGTCAATGACAATGGCCTTTGCCTTGATATCCACACTGAGGTACAAGTGGCTCAAGTTTTCAAGGAGAGTGATGYGTGTTGCTTTTCACAAACACCCAGATGTCCTTAAGACAGATGTCAGAATGGCAGATGAGGATGATTCAGAGACAGTTTCCACAAATCAAWGACAAATTGTTCTTGGAAGAGGATGGGGACAGGAGAATCATAATGAACCTCCTCATCAACTTGTACAACTTTCAGTGCAGTACCATAGGGCACAACCAGATCCTTTCAGTCTTCATGAAGACACTGGCCACAAGCACCAATGAGGTTCCATAAGTGAAGCAGGATCTGGTTTGAGGGTACTTCCAAGTTGGTCTTGGGATATCCCCAGATGGAAATGGGGTGTTTTTAGGATGAATCCCATGGTCAATTGGATGCTGTGGATGCTGTTGATGCCATGGTTAGTTGGAAAGAGGAGAGTTTAGTGAGATAGTCGACAATGGAGACAGGAGACGCATTTGATATTGATAGAATACAGCAATTGATACAGCAATCAATGCATACAATACAGTAATCAATTCATATGATACAGCAATCAATGTGGCCTACATGCTGGCAGGTGATATTCAAAATTATTCTACTACAGCTTTGCATTAAAAGTAGTACATCAATACGGCAACAGCAGGTACCCTTGCTTATGGTGGAAAGGGCAGTRATGATTGGTTTTCTAAAGTAATAAATGTGCTAAATCTGTGGGTTTAGCACATCTATAATATCAGGTATGGCCCAATGATTCTCCATATTYGTGGCACCTTATTGTAGAGTACCAATGCCAGTAAAAGATACTAGTACCTGGTACCAGTAATAGATATTACCCCTACTGGTTCATTCCYACATACATAAATCCAATTATGTTAGTGGGAATGTTGTTAGTGACATTAAAGACACAGCAGGCTTGCTGAAATTASATATTTTCCCCTCTTTTTTGGAATTTGGAATCCCATATAGCTAATTTAGCACTCATTTGGCCATAAGTTTCCAGTGACATGGACAAGATTCAGAYTTTTGTAAAGCCAGCTCTGTGACTAGTCACACTCCCTGCATTCTGAATCCTCYGAAACTACCAAATCCTAATCCAAAACCATCTCCATCCTCATAATTTKCCTATTGATTCTCCCTCACAGCAAAATGTCCCCTAGTTTATTTTAATTGCATAGTAGGCAGCTTTCCTTTAAGCRGAGCAGGAGGAGCAGGAAAAGGAGGCATGCCAGCGACTTTCCACATAGGACAGGTGTTGGAGGGACAGAAGGATACCAAGGATTACACTCATGGGGATGAATGAATCCCCATTCATGCATTTGTTTGCTAGTGGTGGTGATGACCAGGCTCTTCCAAACTACTTTGGTGTAGGAGACCACCCTGTCCTCAGGTACTTCCTTTCCTCCCTCCCTGAACCAGTTTTTTATAGACATACAGTGGGCAAAAGGACCCTGAATATCAGACCCCTTCTTGACACTGAGAAGGGCAAACCAAAGGGCAATAAGAAGAGGGAGATTACTGYTACCATCAGACTTGCATTAGTCTTGACTTGGTTCAGAACTTGTGGATCTGTAGCAAGGGCCTTAGCTATCTATGGTATTTGGCCTTACTCCAACACCCCTCTATTAATCATTGAATTATTCAAGGAGAGTTACTATTCTTTATGTATTGCAGAATCATCTCATTGTTATTATTAGACCCCCATGTGACAAAGAAGTGGAGGCATATGTGGTAGCAATCAGAAGAAAGTTAAGCTTCAGCACTCCAACAACTGGGCCATTCAAAGCATGCACTATAACTTGTGGGTCTGACATACATACATTAATTGCTTCCTTGTCTTTGCAATAGATGGAAGAATCGCTATGACCACATATAACTGCCCGGGTCTTGGTACTACTATCATGGCTGAGTATGGCATATATGACAAGATGGAAGATATACAAAACATGAACGGAGGGATAGTTGTAGTCAATTCTGCATGATTTAGTAAGGTGAAAGGTACAAATTATGTCATTTGAAGCCAACAAAATGGTCTAGATATCTTCAATATTATGTCCAAGAACACAAAGGCTGTAGTAATTGACAGTCCAGCAATGGCTGTTCAACAGTTATCATCAGRATGGGGCATGAGAATGATCCAGGGTCAATTTCCAAGAATGAAGGATAGGTTTACACTGGAGGATCTTGGGSATMATGTAGAGTTGGCGTTTAAATCTATGATACAGTTGTACATTTTGGGCCCTCCTTATTTTGCTTTTAATGGCYACTTTGACKAAAAAACTGGCTGGTACTGCAGTTTACAGCCATGCACCTGCTGAATTTTTGTATCCCACCAGTTGTGCAATCAAAGAGTTTTTGATTCCTACTTCAACATGTGCTACTCCTACAAGCCCAACCATATTTTTGGCTTGAATCTTTTAATCCCACAAGTCATTACATGGTAAAAATATGGTCCAAAATCCACACACAGTGAAAAATACACGTAGGGCATTAASTAATAGTCAAMTCACTCAAACAGCTATATCTTGGTCCCCAAATCGACGCTTCAGTATGATAAGAGCATGAATCAAAAGAAAATTAAAACAGGATTTTAGTCATTCTGGGGAGTTGGGGGGCTGTAAAGATATGGATTGATATATATATATATATACACTGCATTGCTAATGTATGACTAAATCTTTTTTTGAGCAGCCAATAATATAAAATAGGAAGAAAATTCTAAATCTCTTCTTGTTGTTGCATAATTATCAATGCAGCCCTGTTGGCATTAATTTAATCCTTAATACCTTCATGAATAATACCAGTGGATGACTATTGTTGTTAAAAGTGGTGTTATCCTCACTAATATTGTATCCTTCTTTGAAATCAAATTCCTCCTCTCCATTCCCAAAGTTGGCCTTGGCACCAATCAAATACTGCTTGATCCCAACCTYAACCTCCACAAGAGACATGATCTATATACAGGATCTATTCATTACAACAAGCRGTAGGGGATCCAAACCRAGTGCTTTACAACAAGAGACAGTAGATTTGACAAGCAGCAGGAACAAAAACACCAAAAATTTGAAAACATTATTTGTTGGTGTCTGCAGCGTCCTTGGTCAGCAGCATCTACATCCAGCAAAGACTACAACCAGCAGTGTCTGTATCCAGCACCCCTATTCAGCTCTGTATGATCCTGCAAAAACATCTAGCAGTGTTGCATTGTCGGTATCCAGCATCTGCATATCATACTACATAGTATCAGCATCTCCTATTACTACTAGTACTAGTAGTAGTAGCAATGACCACATCTAGCAGTGTGGTCCGTATCCAGCTTCTGCCGTATTTTTCAGCTCTGGTGCCAGCAGCAGCGCATCCAGCAGCACATCATCCAGCAGCATACTGGCRGGTATCATCTGTATCAGCAACTCGTCGTACTACTAGGTACTAGTAGTATTAGCAACGTCCTCACTAGTACTACTTGTGTGTGTATGTACAGTATTTTGGATTTTTAAAAGAATAGTATCACCACTAGCTTGAATTACAGATGTGAAGAACAAGCATGACCTCACGGTACAAAAATGTTATTTTTACCCTAGGACTGCAGGACCATAAGTGTACGGACCACATGCTCCTGTTGTGGTCCTCGGAATATATTWCAGTAGTTTCTTTTTTATGTTGAGACAGGTTGACCACGTGGGTGATGATGTATCGCACTGTTCTTTGCCTAAAATCGTACTGCTAGATGCCTGTCAAGCGATATATGTACTCGTACGTACGTACTCGTTTTCTCAAATTTTCGTTTTTTCCCAGTTTCGACGATTGCGAAAGGAAATACAGTACGTAACGGTACGGTACCGTACTGCCTCCATGTACTCAATGACTTGGTACAGTAATGACTAAATCTCAACACCTTTTTCTTTGCTGTTGTACCTGGTGCCATTTTCTCTGATAGCCTACTTAACAAACGATGGTTAAATGAGAGACAAATGACTGGAAGTACTTACTGTAATCTTTTCGAAGATGACATCGAAATCCGGTAAAGCAAATATGTACCAAGTACTTTACTTCGTACAACACATCGGACATCACGAACTTTTTCGATAGATTCGTAAGGTACGAGTATGCCCCACAAGTGCCTTGAAGTTTCAATACGGATTGGCTCATAAAAAGATTTCATACATTTCAGAAGCCCACAGC